CTGAACCCTGAACCCTGAACCCTGAACCCTGAACCCTGAACCCTGAACCCTGAACCCTGAACCCTGAACCCTGAACCCTGAACCCTGAACCCTGAACCCTGAACCCTGAACCCTGAACCCTGAACCCTGAACCCTGAACCCTGAACCCTGAACCCTGAACCCTGAACCCTGTCTTAATTTGAAACTAGATTACTTTATTGTCTGTCATACTTGATTATTCTCCTTAATGTTACAAGCCTGATATTTGCTATCCTATGTCATCTTAGCCATATCTTGCTATAACTCGTGTGTGTGTATCATTGATAGAGTTCCACTTAACTTAGTTCATGATTCAGTTTCTGAGAAGCAGAGTTCAATCTTCGTCTTTATTTGCAGACTTTAGTATAGAGACATCAAGGTTCCACATGATGTTTCAAAACAAGATTCAAGGTCTGTTTGCTTTCCACCATTGTGTAGTTTACGTCAATTTTGTTTCAAAACTTTGTGTTTATGATAAGTAGATGGAAGTGTGTGTTTCAAGTTAAACCCAAGATCTTTTATCACATTTTATACAAAAGTTTTCATAAATTTAAATTTAAAGAGACTCTATTGTACATCTGATTTTTTCAGAAACTTATTGAGTCTCTCAACTTTCGTAAAACCAATTTTTTTGATTAAAAATATTCTAAAGAGACTCATTAGAGTCTCTAGCAATAATCATGGTCTTATACCATTAGAGGATTTGCCCAAAAAAAAAAAAAAAAAACCATTAGAGGGTATCATATTTTAACAATGGAAAAAATAGAAATTAATGTTGTTCTGTTTATATAGTAGAATCTCGACTTTTTTGCATTTACACTCAAGAAATATGTAAAGGAAATATTTCACAGTTTGGAAATTAGGGGTTCTTTCTGATTTGGTATATCATGTAGTTTCTCTAGATAAAATATTGAGGAGTAATTTGTGTGTGCTACTTAATTTTGAATTATTTTAGAGAATTGCGAAAAAAGATAAAACATAGAAAGTGATAATAAGTAGTGATAAAATCACGATTAGTAAACCTCCCCGGCCGCATGGACCTTAAACCGGGATGTTACACTCCGTCATGCACCAACCAGTGGCGTCTCCCTTTGTATGTCCTTCCACATGTTGGTAGTACGAGAGTTCTGCTTTTTGTTCGATCACAACCTTTTTACCGTCCCAAAAACACAAACCTTTTAAGTCTCTATATAATTTATTTTTTGTTTGGTGAGGTTTTAAGTCTCTAATTTTTATAACTATAATTTTTTCTTTTTAAAAAATGTAAATTTGTAAATTCAAAATTTATCTGCTAAGTGATATTTCTATATTTTGTTGTACTTCATCGTGTTGAAGACTATGTATTTTTAATACATTTTAAAATGATATCGTTTTGAAAATAAATTTTAAAACCAACAAATTGCAAAAGTTAAGAATTCAAACGACCTCTCTAATAGTACAGAGTACACTACAAAATATAAGGCTTTTAACGTCAGATTTAAAAAGCCTTTACGTCGGTACTAAAGTGATGCTAATAATACAACATCACTTTAAAAAATGACGTAACAAGGGATGACGTAAACTTTTTTTGCTTCATTTCTAAAACTAACGTTAATATAAACGTCAAATGTTTAACATCAGTTTTTTTTTGCTTTAGCGTCGGTTAAATTATGACTTAAAATTTTACGTTAACGTGATTTTAAAACCGACGTATGTAATGTGCAGTTTTCTTTATTAGAAAAACAAAATTAAAATTAAAATTTTAAACTAAAACACTCACAAATAGTATTATAAATAAGGATAAGACAATACAGTATCATGTTTAGTGTTTAAAAAATCAAATAGAAAATACAAGAACATTACTCCCGGGAAATCTAAGGCTAAAAGAAGCAACATGGAAGCTCCGTACTGCACCAAAGATCAAGCACTTTATTTGGCGACTCATATCTGAAGCTCTTGCCACAGGAGAAACATTACGCAAGCGTCATATTACTAATCAACCCATCTGCCGCAGATGCTGTCAGGCAGAAGAAACGACCAAACATCTCTTTTTTGATTGTTTCTATGCCCAATCTATTTGGAGAGCTTCAGGCTTTTCACATCACTGTTTGTTTGATCCGCATCAATCTTTGGAAGCAAAAATGGATGCAATCCTCTCTGGCCACATAGCTTCCATCAACCCGGATATCCACCAAGTAGGTCTTTGGATTTTGTGGAGAATCTGGAAGAGTAGAAATCTTCTTGTGTTCCAACAGCAGAATCTTTCATGGGAAAACGGTATCGCTTTGGCTAATAATGATGCTAGAGACTGGATGGCTGCCAATGAGTATCTCCAACAGCTTCATGAACCTGCGCCCAATGTATCAACATTTCGGCAATCTTCAAGATCAACACAATGGAAGAAAGCAACAAATGGATGGATAAAATGTAACTATGATGGCTCTTTTCTCAACAGTAATGTTCCATCCAAAGCAGGATGGGTGTTTCGAGATGATAGTGGCAATTTTAGAGGAGCAGGTCAAGCCATTGGTTTAGTGACATCAACTGCTTTAGAGAGTGAGTGGCAGGCACTTCTAATAGCTATGCAACATGCTTGGACAAAGGGATTCCGCAGGGTTATTTTTGAAGGAGACAATAAGCAACTTGTGGATCTTATAAATCAACGACAATTACATTTTGCTTCATTCAATTGGCTCAGGGATGTGTATCATTGGAAGCTGAAATTTGAGGACATATAAATCGTTTAAACATCAAGAGCGAGCAATCAACCTGCTGATCAATTAGCAAGAGACAACTCTCCTACTAGACCTCTGTTTCAAAGCTTTTTACATGTACCTAGCTTGATTGCTACTACTATTCACAATGATTTTGTAACTTCTGGTTAATATATTGAAATTAGCTGTTAAAAAAAAAAAAAAAAAAAAAACAAGAACATTGTTTGATATATAAAAAATAAAGGTACTCACTCAATTTCAGTTTCTTCTATGTAATGTCAATATATTCCAGATTCTTCTGAGTATAAGCTACGAGTTCCTTCACATCCTTCCCGTCCCTAACATCACACTTAGTTCCCTACTAAGAGAAAATGGCAAACCTCAAAAGAACAGTAGAAGAAGGTGGTACACACACATGCTCCCCAATTTCTTCCTTAAGACTCTGAACAGCAGACTCAACTCGTTTAGCTGCATGACAAAAAAAAGCAAAATCTCAGGACAGGTTCTTACCTAATCTATAGCAAACTACAACATTGTCTCATGCTTTCATAAACTCATCAAACAATGGTTTCTTCCAAGTTACTTTGAATTCTTAAAACAGATTCCACTAATTGAGGGGACTTATAGACAAGAGGAGACTAAAAGGTATTGATTATTCTAAACTATACAATGACTATCATACAAGTTTACATGCCAGTTCCAAGTGAAATCCAAATAAAATGACTCTGTTCAAATTTCAGTCCTTGGAATGATACTTTCCTAAAATTGTAGATAAATTATAGATAATACTTAAGTGTTATGAATCACCTTCCAAACCATCTCTTTTCTGTAATTGGGAACTTTCCTCCAATCAATGTAGTTAATAGGTAGTATATTAAGATCATTACTAAGTGACCCTAACCACGAACCAAATAAACCTCCAGAATCTTTGATAGGCTGTCCTCAAAAGATATTGAGAAGGTGAAAATGGAGAACAACATCGGATGTCAAAAAAAAAAAAATGGAGAACAAATCGAAATATGTGCCTTAATGACTTAAAGGGACAAGAATAACCACCTTCAAATGAGGATCAAAAAGCAAGCAGGTCATTAGAGTAGCTTCAAACTTCCTGTTAATGATCTCAGAAAGTTAAGGAGACAAGAAAACATTTTAATATGGTGACAAAAGGTAAAATTTTCCACCTTGGCTTGAGTACATCACTGGTTGGAAAGAGATCCATCCACTGAGTGGTAAATGACTTTGAATCAGCCTGGCAAAGATCCTTTACAGGAGAATATGAAATTGAATAAGTAATTTTCACTGAAAAGTTAAGTAGATGATGAAAAACAATTAAGAATACAACATTGTTACTCACCTGTATGCAAACAATGGCAGCTATTCTAACCTTCGAGCTTTGGGCACAATAAGAATCCCGTACGGAACCATCACTGTCACTAAAATCAGAATCTGATGATATAACATCACAACTACCAGAATCATGAGCAGACAGGTGCCGCCAGTCACAAGACACTGGCTGCTTAGTGTTCAAAACATCCCTCTTGCGCAAGTGGGGTGGCCTATAAGGATTATTCTTGGCGTTCTTACTTACTCCAGAAATCAATGTGGAAAGCATGACATTTAATTGCTTATCTTTGTGAACAACATCAGAATGAGAGAACTGGGGTGGGCCAGTAAGTCCAAAACAGAAAAACATTCTCAATGCTGCTATGAAACTTGAGACCTGCAACATTACAACTTGTGCTTAAACAAAGGAAAAAAGTCTGCATAAAACCAGAAAATCACTTATCTAGGGCTAAGAGGAGCAAAGGCTATCAAGAACCCACTTACGTGATCAGAAACAGGACATTTGATATTTGTAAGGACCTCATGCACACAGTCTAGAAGGCATGAATAAAATCTGCAGAAAAATAAGAAATCAATATTACCTAAGGGGAACAAGAAGTCTAATGTAACCCAGGAAAAAAGAGGAATAAATTGTATTCTCCACAAAACCAAGAACATAGTTGAAAAGCCCTTTCAGACATACCTCCACATAAATCGGTCTTCGACAAGCAGGCCCTTGGATGCTAAGACATCCATTACTTTCCTTAGAACCTAATATCAGGATGCACCAACTTGAGAAACAAAGCATATTAGAGAAATGAGAGGATCTATCTGTGAAGGGAATGGTTACCTCTAGCGTGCATTGGCAGACGTCAGTAGGAAACAAAGACTCAGACACAGAAAATGCTCTACCAAACATTTCAAAGGCAAGAGCCATGGAATCCCATAAGCTATTCTGTTCAGGCAGCTTTTTTTCCATATCTAAAGTAGGGTCTTGATTTGAGAAACCATAAGATAATACTAAATCCTGGTGTAGTAACGGAATTATGCGCAGAAGAAACTTGACTAGATGAATGTTCTCCGGATGGGAGCTATTTCTGTGGTACGTAGCGGCCAAACGTCTGGGAAAAGGGAAGAGATTACGATTATACTCTGTTCTAATAAGATGTATTTAATGTTTTTGTATATCTTCCTCTTGTTTTTAATTTTCTATACATATGTTATTTATTTATCGTTTAAATTCAAGTTTGGATACAAATATTTGTGTTACATGAGAAGCAGGACAACTTTCATTGTGTAAACCAAAATTTCAAGTTTCATTGTGGATCTTGTGCTGCAGAATTTTAGTTGAAGCAAAAATCATTAGTAACAAAAAATATTAGTAACAAAAATTATTTACAAAAAAACACCCCGCGGCGTAGCGCGGGTTTTGACCTAGTGGGGGTTTAAAATTTAACGTCGTTAAACGATTCTGTAACGGTCGTTCACGTCTTTTAAGTCATGGTTACGAATCCACCAACAAATTAAAGATGAGGTATTTTTGCTCAAACCAAAAAATCTTGGATATTAAACGTCCAAAATAAAAATAAATGAGTTTTTTGTTTCCCTAATACAATTTTAGCATTTATTTAAAAGGAAATAAAAATAAATAATTTTAGATTTGCAGCGCCTCAAACTCTAGCATCGTAACGTTAGGTAGTTCCTCAATATCAGCCGCTGAATTAACGCAAACACTCTCTAAACGTGATATCACGTTTTTTTGTTTCTACCAACCACTCCGAAAATTTCCAAGACTCGAGGACGAGCACAAAGATGAGTACCGAAAACGATGAGGCTTTGACTCGTTATTGTAATAGGATCGCATCAATATCCTTAGTCTCTTTTAACAATTACCCGGTTTGTCCCGGTTAAGTATTTCATGGTTTTAGTATTGGTCGTGTGTGGACCATCTTCTTCTCTTAAAAAAAAAATGCAATCGTCTACATAAGATACCATGGCAAGACTCGGGTTGGTAACCCTGTTGATTGCATAGCTATAGTTAGAAGAACCTTTGGTGAGCGTAAGGGTAAGATATACTTCAGTCTCCAGGGTAGGATTCAAAGTGCACAAAGTATACCAAAAATGGGTAAGAATACTTTTTAATTTGTGTTAATTTTCGTATTGGATTGGATTGTTCATAGGAATGTCAAAATTCGTTGCTAAATTCATGCCTTAACGTATCCAAGGTTGTCACTACTGCGCATAATCTGTGGTCCAATTCTGCAACAGGAGTTTTAATGGAGGAAAATAAAGCTAAAAGAGAGGATGATGATATGATCAGCAAATTACCAGACACTTTGATTTCTGAGATACTCTTTTATCTTCCAACAAAGGAAGCTGTTAGGACAAGTGTTTTGTCCAATAGGTGGAGAAGTCTCTGGCTTTTGGTTCCTGGTTTGGATTTGGACTCTTGTGAGTTCTTAGATTTCAATGCTTTCTCGAGTTTTGTCAACAAGTGCTTAGATTTCTCAAGAGAAAACGAGTTATGCTTGCACAAGCTCAAGCTAAGTATTCACCAGGATGAGAATGAGAATCACAACCAGTTTTGTGTCACGCGTTGGATAGATTTCGTGGCTAAGGGAAAACTTAAGCATCTTGATGTTGAGCGCTTTCTGAAGCGTAAGTGTTTGGAAGTGATCATGCCCGTAAGCCTCTTTGTCTGTCAGACGTTAGTTTACTTAAGACTCAGTCGCGTGTTGTTTAGTACTAGTTTTGAGGAATCGTCGTCTGTATCATTACCTCGTCTTAAGACTCTGCGTCTAGAACTCAACGTATATTCAAATGAGACAAGTCTAGAGTCGCTAATCTCATATATCCCCGTGCTTGAAGATTTGACCATTGTTAGAAGAGTAGGTGATAATGTTAAGTATTTAAGAGTGCGTTCCCAGACACTAACCAGTCTCCGTATAAAATTCCAACTTAGAAGACAATCCGAGTATTATGGGGAGGTTGATGTCCTTGTGGTTAGGGGTTATGGCCAGGGGGGGTTTTTGATTGATGCCCCTAGACTCAAGTATTTGAATATCGAAGATGAAAGAACAACTATTAAAACCATAACCAATTTGGGTTCCTTAAACAAGGTCAATCTTCTTGGCAGCTTTTTTATCCGGGGTGATGATCAAGACCGTAAATTTTTCACCAGTTTATCTGGAGTAAGAGATATGAACCTCTCTCGCGCATCTTTCTTGGTATACACGTCTTTGCAATTCATAGATAAATATATAATGCTCTTTCGTACGTGTGTGAATCTACTTATCTCCATTTTTTGTGTGTAGTACTTCATGAATGTGGTGCCATTACCCCAGTTTTGCAACCTGTACCAATTGGAAGTAGGTCTTTGCTATTTTTCCTTTTTTGACAGGCTGCTAATGTTTCTTCCAAGCTGTCCGAAACTAAGATCCCTAATCTTGGTAATGACTTGCTCAAACCCATACATTAAGAAATGTGTTATATAGAATTATTCCACTCATATTGTGTTTGTTTTTTTTACAGAATTTAATAGGTTATTGGGGAAAAATGAGTCTCTCGTCCGAGCATCTGTGTTTGTTGTCTTCGCTCGAGTTTGTAGAGATGGAATGCATATTTAGGAGATATCCCAGTCTGGAACTAGTAATAAGTAATCCTCAAGACACTGCATCTACATCTGAATCTGAGATCTTCCATGCTAGAAGAAAATTCTTTCGTCTTAAGTGATCTTCTTGCATTAATGGTAAGGCATACTTCAGTCTCCAGGGTAGGATTCAGATCCCCGAAAGTATACTAATATAATGGGTAGAATTGGAGTCCACGAAAAGCATAAAAACAACACGGCCTCAGTCTGGTTTGTCATGTGCAACGCCAGGCATTCAAAACTAAGCTTCCTCTTGCTTATTTCACCTAGCGAACCATTGGAAAATGTGGAACAGTTAATAATAATTAAACAGCTTTTGGATTTTTAAGTGAATCTGCAAGTGCAAGTGCTCGTTGGACTTCTTTAATACGGAGTCGAAGCTCTCTCACAAAATGGGCGTTGGCCTTTGCAGATGGTGAAGATGCAGCTTCTGAAGGAGTACCTGAACTAAGTCAAGAAGTAACTCAAGCGAACAGAGCAACATGAACAAGATTAAGGAAATATGCAGAATCTTGTTATGGCGGTTTGAAGTGAAGACTAGAAACTTAGAGAAGATTCTAGAAGACTGAAGAGTTTCCTTTTGCAAGAAGAAAAGGAAAACATGAAGACAAAGGACAATTTCCTATTCCATAAAGAAAAAGGAAATTGTCCATTCCAATTAGTTTTAGAATTGGAAATCGACCTGTTGTATGGTCTCAACCTATTTAGTATAAATAGGGTGCTAAGGCTTGCAGAAAGCTTAGCACAATCACGAGAGAGAATTCCTAGCTATTAAGTCTTAGTTTGAGAGAAATAGAGAACTAGAGGCTTAAAGAGAGCTAAGGGTTTTAAGGAGAGTTATTGTTCTTAATCGGTCTGTGATTAAGGAACAAGACTTAGTGAGAATAGAAAATAGTGTTAAAGGAGAAACCTTGTAAACATATTTTCTATTAATCGAAAGAGTTTTTGAGAAATTCTGAGTTGCATCGTGAACTAATTCAAAACTTAGTAGCTCTTGCATTTACAATTGGTATCAGAGCGGTCGCTTGTGAAGATTACATACAGGTGAGGTCTTGTGGAAAAGATGGAGAGCTATCAAGAACTGCTTAAAAACGCGAAGGTTGTTCTAGACGATTGTAACTATGGTTTTTGGAAGTCAAGAATCAAATCTGTGATAAGAGGGATAGATGTGTTAGCTTGGAAAGCTGTCTTGGAAGAATGGAAAGAACCACAAATTAAGAATGAAGATGGAAGCTTCACATCCAAACCCGAGTCAGACTGGACTGAAGATGAGAAGAAAAAGTCTAAATTCAATGCTAGAGCTCTCACAGCTATTCACTGCAGTGTTGGAAGGAAACAATTTGACTTCATTCAGGGCTGTGAAACTGCTAAGGAAGCTTGGGATATTCTGCAAACACACTATGAGGGAACGATTAAGGTTCAGACTTCAAGAAAAGATTTAATAGCTTCAAGATTCGAGAATCTGAAGATGAATGAGCAAGATTCAATCTCTGATTTTAGCTCTAAACTAAGTTCATTGGCGCAAGAAGCTTTAACTCTTGGGAAGAAGTATAAAGACAAGAAGTTGGTCAAGAAATTTCTAAGATGTCTACCTCCGAGATTTATGGCGTACAAAACAGCTCTAACAGTGTCAAATAATACTGATACTCTCAGTTTTGCTGAAGTTGTAGGGATGCTTCAGGCTCATGAGCTTGAATTAGGAGGAACTAAGAAACCAAAAGGGTTGGCGTTGATATCTTGTGAAAGCAAATCTCAAACAGAAGAAGAAGATTCATTGAGTCTGTTAGTTCGAAGGTTTGATCAGTTGTTGAAGAGAGCAGAACAAGGACAAGGACAGAAGAAGTTTGGATCATTCAAAAAGAATTATGACGATACCAAACCGTCAAAGAAAGCTGACATGCAATGTCATGAATGTAAAGGGTATGGACACTTTATTCGTGAATGTCCAACAGTCAAGAAACGAGAAACTAAATGCACAACATGCAAAGGAATGGGACATGCTCAAGATGATTGTATCAGTAGTCGAAATGAGAAATCAATGATTGGTATTGAAGAAGAATCTGAGGAAGAGAGTGAGGAAGAAGACATCTTAAATTATGTAGCATTGATAGGCATTACTGAGTTTGTTGAAGGTGAAGAAGAAACTGACTCTGAATCAGATGAAGAACAACAAGTGAATTTTGTTGAAAGTTACAAAGAGGTGAGAGAAACTTTGATTAAACTTGGAACAGAAAATCAAGATTTGCTGAAAGAAAAGATACGTCTCGAATCACTTGTTGAACTATTACAGAATCAACTAGAAGATGAAAAGAAGATTAGCAAAGAAAGTTTGAGTTTGATGAAAGAAAAACTAAGCTTGTCTGCTAAAGCTGATAATTTGGAGAAAGAACTGATCGCTGAAAGGAAGATATCTGCAGGACTACAAACAGAACTTAATCAACAACATCGGAAGATTCACATGTTTGCTGGAACAAAACAACTAGATCAGATTCTAAGCTATGGAAGGACGGAAAAAAAAAACAGAGGACTAGGGTACACTGGTCATGGAGAAACAAGCACAGGTCAAACCAAGTTTGTGTCTGGAGGAATATCTCATCATGCACAAGATGAATCAAGAAAAAGTATTTTCAAAGGCATCGGATGCTATTTCTGTGGAAAGATTGGGCACATAAAGATTCATTGTTACAAGTACTGGGAGAAAGTGGGAAAACTCAGGTATCAAAGGAAGTTTACATGGAATGGATATAAACATCAAATCTGGGTAAAGAAAATTGATCTATATCCAACTCTAGTCAGAAGAACTGCAGAAAGAGATACAAGAAGTAGAGCAGGACTTGGTTTTAGATGCAACATGGCGTTAGTCACAGAGGAATGCGAGAAAAGAGTCCTTGGTACTTTGATAGTGGGTGTTCACGCCACATGACAGGCACAAAAGATTACTTACAAGACATCAAGAAAATCAAAGGAGGTAAAGTAACTTTTGGTGATGGAGGTCATGGAGACATACAAGGTAAAGGAAAAACTAGTGATGTAGAGCTACCTCAGCTGATGAATGTCTATCTTGTTCGTGGATTAAAGGCTAATCTTATTAGTGTGAGTCAGTTGTGTGACGAAGGTCTAGAAGTTACTTTCACTAAAGAAGATTGCAAAGCGTTTGATGAAACCGGTGACATTGTTCTAGGAGGTAAGAGAACAGGAAACAATTGTTACATGTGGGAAAATCGTACAACCAACTGTTTCTCTGCACGAGACAACCTTAATCTATGGCATCAACGTCTAGGTCACATGAATACAAGAAATCTGACTACTTTGGTTGACAAAGAAATTATCCGAGGAGTTCCTAAGCTTAAAGATGAAGATAAGATGATGTGTGGACCATGTAATCAAGGGAAACAAGTCAAAGTGCAGCACAAGAAAGTTCCAGATGTTCAGACTAAGTCAGCACTTGATTTGGTACATATGGATTTAATGGGGCCAATGCCAATTGAAAGCATAGCTGGGAAGAAGTATGTGTTTGTATTGGTAGACGATTTTTCTAGATATACATGGGTGAGATTCATTCGAGAGAAGTCAGACACAGCAGATAGTTTCAGAATATGGGCTCTTCAGCTTATCAATGAGAGAGGAGGTATTAAAAGAATAAGAAGTGATCATGGTGGAGAATTTCAAAATGAGTCCATGAAAGATTTTTGTGAAAAGCATGAAATTGCTCATCAGTTTTCAGCTCCAAGAACACCTCAACAAAATGGGGTTGTAGAAAGGAAGAATAGAACTCTTCAAGAGATGGCTAGAGCAATGATGCATGGAAATCAGGTTCCACAGAGGTTTTGGGCAGAAGCAATAAACACATCATGCTATATCGTCAATAGGGTCTATGTGAGAAGAGATTTGATGAAGACTCCATATGAGTTATGGAAAGGAAAGACTCCGAATCTGAGCTACTTTCACGTGTTTGGATGCAGATGCTATATACTGAATGACAAAGACTACCTTGGAAAATTTGATTCCAAAAGTGATGAAGGCATGTTTCTGGGTTACTCAGAGACTAGTACAGCATTCAGAATCTACAACAAAAGAACGTGTGCTATTATGGAATCAGTTAATGTTGTATTTGATGATCATTATGTGTCAAAGGTTAGTGAAGAACTTGAAGAAAGTGACACAGAACCGGATGAGATAACCAATAAAGAGGTTAAAGAAAAAGTGGATGGTTCATCGGTAGAACAAGAAGATAGTCACAAAGAAGCTCAGAAAATTCAGGTACACAAAAATCATTCATCATCAGACATCATTGGAGATCTCCAAGATCCGATGAAAACCAGAGGTGTAAAGCTTGATTTCAAGAAGATGACAAGTAATTTTGCAGAATGGGAAACTTTGCAGTTTCAATGCTTTGTTTCATCCGTTGAACCAAAGAATCATGTTGAAGCACTTGAAGATAATTTCTGGATCATTGCTATGCAGGAAGAGCTAGAACAGTTCGAAAGAAATGAAGTTTGGGAATTGGTTAAACGACCTGCGGATACAAATATTATAGGAACCAAATGGATTTTTAAGAACAAGAGTGATGAAAAAGGAGTAGTTGTCAGAAATAAAGCAAGATTGGTAGCACAAGGGTATAATCAAATCTAAGGTGTTGACTTTGAAGAAACGTTTGCACCTGTAGCAAGACTTGAATCAATCAGACTTTTCTTGGGAATGGCTTGTATTCTTAACTTCACGGTTCATCAAATGGATGTTAAAAGTGCTTTTCTAAATGGTATACTACAAGAAGAAGTATATGTTGAGCAACCTAAAGGATTTGAAGATATGATGAAGCCTGAGTATGTTTTCAAGTTAAAGAAGGCTCTATATGGACTCAAACAAGCACCTAGAGCATGGTATGAAAGGCTGACTAACTTTCTGCTTGAGAAAGGTTACAACAGAGGAAGTGTTGATAAAACTTTGTTTATTCTTGAAGAAAACAAAGAGATCATGATGGTGCAGATTTATGTTGATGATATTATTTTCGGGAGTACTTCTCAGAAGTTGGTGGATCAGTTTATAGAGAACATGACAAAAGAGTTTGAAATGAGTTTGGTAGGTGAATTGAAGTATTTCTTGGGATTGCAGATAGTTCAATCGGATGAAGGAATCTACATCTCACAGAGTACTTATGCTAAGAAGATCTTGAAGAAGTTTCAAATGGATAAATGCAAAGAAGCTAAAACTCCTATGAGTACCTCATTGAAATTATCAAGAGATGAAAATGGAACAGATGTAGACGTCAAAACTTACAGAGGAATGATTGGAAGTCTCTTATATCTAACAGCTAGCAGACCTGATTTATGTCTAAGTGTTGGAGTTTGTGCTAGATATCAAGCAAAGCCTAAACAGTCTCATCTTGAAGCTGTGAAGAGAATTCTGAAGTATGTCAGAGGAACTGTAGATCTTGGTATTTGGTATTCAAAAAACTCAAATCAAAATCTGGTTGGTTACTGTGATGCTGATTATGCAGGAAGTGTGAATGACAGAAAGAGTACAAGCGGAGGATGTTTCTTTCTTGGAAACAATCTAATTGCTTGGTTGAGTAAGAAGCAAAATTCTGTGTCAATATCTACCGCAGAATCTGAGTATATTGCCATGGGAAGTTGTTGCACACAGTTACTTTGGATGCGGCAAATGTTAGCAGATTATAGAATAGACTCTGGAGTTCTTCAAGTCTACTGTGATAATCAGAGTGCAATCGATATCTCAAAGAATCTGGTTCAACATTCAAGAACCAAGCACATTGATGTAAGACATCACTTTATTTGTGAATTGGTTGAAGAAAAGAAGGTTAAGATTGATCATGTTGGGACAGAGATTCAGCTGGCAGATATTTTTACAAAGGCATTGGACTTCAACAGGTTCGTCACATTAAGAAATTCACTTGGAGTATGTGAACTATGATCTGACTCAGTCAGAGAACATGAGAGCTGATATGGTTATGAAGATACGGTTCAATTCAAAATTTCTGGTTTGGTTTATCACATTAGAAGTTCCAAGAATGGTTTATTCCGGTTTGTTTTTGGCAAAAATCGAGTTTTTGAATTTAAAAAAAAAGGATATGCAATCATAAAAAGGATTTTCTCAAATCTTGGTGAAAATATTCGTTGGGAGAAGAGCAAAACAAAGAAATGAAAAGTTTTCGAAAACCCTAAGAAAAGAAGAAGCAAGAAAATCCTTGGAGAAAAACTCTCAAATCGCAACAATGGTGAAAGCTACTCGCAGAGGTCCAATCGGTGGAAGAAGAACAACTGCAGAAGATCGTTCTGATGGAGTTGAAGCTAATCCGCAACTGATTGACGAATCTATTGCTGCGCCTCCTTCTCTTGTTCCTTGTGGTGATGAAGATGACTCATTTGCAACAGCTAATGAAGAAAATAAAAGCAACGAGTCTGAGAAAATCAGGAAACCTGAGGAAGAATCAAAGAAGCTTGATGGAGAAACTGAGGTACTTTCTGAACAAGTCGATGGAGTCAAACCTACAGAGGATGTGTCAACAGACACTGTGCCAGAAGAAGAAATTAAAAAATCTGAGGATCTTCGTGGTGAAATCAAGGAATCAAGTCGACGGGTGTCTCAAATCGATGAAGACATCATCAGATCTGACCAAATTTCGGCTGAGAAATCAAAATCAACTGAGGATACTGTGATTCTAGGAGAGGAAAATCGAGTTTTTCCACATGCAGATCCAGAATTTTCTGACAAAGAAGAAGAAAATACTGAAGAAGTAGTAAGGGACGAAGCAATTCATGTCTCTGATGTTGAGATTCAACCAACTGAAATGACTGTTGAAGAACAGTTTCAGAAAAATCAGAAGGAGAAGGAAGCTCGTAAGAAAAGAGTCTTTAAACAGCTAGGTCTAGCTCCTCCAAAGAAGAAACAAAAGAAGGCTGAACCAATTTCAAAGAAAAGCAAATCTATCAAGGCTTCAGGCTCAGGCAAAAGTCCTTCCAAGAAAAGCTTTCGATCAAAGCTATTTTCATCATCTCAAGCTAGAGCAAGGTATGATTTGTTTAAAAATAGAAACTTGATTGAGGAACGCCTGATTGATTTAGAAAAAGAGGATTCTTGGGGTTACTTAACCTTGATCAAGAATGCGAAATTGGAATCTACAGTGACAAATCTTGGAAGTTATGTGCGGGAAGTAGTGTCTGAATTTTATGCAAATCTTCCTTGTGAAAAGTCTGAAGAAAATGCTGAGAAGGTCAGTGTGTTTGTCAGAGGGCATGACTATGAGTTTTCACCAAATAAAATCAATAAATTTCTTGGTTTTAAAGATTTAACCAAAGAGGAACTTAAGGCAGATAGTGATGCTGATTCTGTTGGAAAAGAACAACTTGCAGAACTGCTAAGTGAAGATGAGAAGACTGGCTGGGATGATTTAGTATTCAAGAATTTTTCTCCTCGAATTGGAGCTCTTCTACGAATCACTGCTCAGAATTGGATTCCTTCCTCTAATCCAGATTATGTTTCAGTTGAGAGAGCTCAGCTCATCTACAAGATCTTTCATGGAATCAGAATTGATGTTGGTAAGATGATCTTTAATCAAGTGATGTCACTTTTTCAGAACAAGGATGAAAGATGGTTGGTGTTTCCCCGAATCATATATGGGATGCTCATAAGTCAAAAAGAAGTGACAATCTATTCTGGAGAAAAGTTTGTGACTCCTAAGTTCTACAAAAAGGATGTCAGAACTGGTCAAGCTTACACTGAAAGGATGAAGGGCAAAGCAAAAGCTAGCACTCAGCCAAATACTTCAAGAACTGCTCCTCAAAATGTCTCGGAACCTTCTTCTCAGTTTAATCCAGAGTATCAAGGCTATACTGTTGTGGACATTGGGAGCATCCGCCTGCCTCACCCTGATGAGGATGATAGAGAGGGAATGTTTATGGCTTTGTTAGACACAGCTCAGGCTATCTCCAAGATGAATGAAGTAATCCAACAACTTGTTCTCAGTCATCCTTTGTCTAAAAGATTGTAGGAAGTTTGGTTTTTAACCTTGAGCTCTCAAGCAGGGGGAGAAAAAGAAGTATGGCTATGATTCTGGGGGAGTTCATGTGTTGTGGGGGAGTAGTTATTTGATAATTTTGTTTAAACTTCAGACTTTATTGTTGCTTGATTCTCAGATTCTGGGGGAGTTAATTTGTGTTGGACAATGTTGCTAAAAGTTTTTAAACTTCGGGTGTTTAAATTTTGTGATTGCTTGAGATGAAAAATGTCTACAAAAGATAGAAGATTTCAAATGCAGGTGCTTGAGAGACACAAGATTAAAAAGGGGGAGATTGAAGATGCAGCTTCTGAAGGAGTACCTGAACTAAGTCAAGAAGTAACTCAAGAGAACAGAGCAACATGAACAAGATTAAGGAAATATGCAGAATCTTGTTATGGCGGTTTGAAGTGAAGACTAGAAGCTTAGAGAAGATTCTAGAAGACTGAAGAGTTTCCTTTTGCAAGAAGAAAAGGAAAACATGAAGACAAATGACAATTTCCTATTCCATAAAGAAAAAGGAAATTGTCCATTCCAATTAGTTTTAGAATTGGAAATCGACCTGTTGTATGGTCTCAACCTATTTAGTATAAATAGGGTGCTAAGGCTTGCAGAAAGCTTAGCACAATCACGAGAGAGAATTCCTAGCTATTAAGTCTTAGTTTGAGAGAAATAGAGAACTAGAGGCTTAAAGAGAGCTAAGGGTTTTAAGGAGAGTTATTGTTCTTAATCGGTCTGTGATTAAGGAACAAGACTTAGTGAGAATAGAAAATAGTGTTAAAGGAGAAACCTTGTAAACATATTTTCTATTAATCGAAAGAGTTTTTGAGAAATTCTGAGTTGCATCGTGAACTAATTCAAAACTTAGTAGCTCTTGCATTTACAGATGGAAGTGAAAGATAAACCTTTGCCCTAATCAGCTGATCTTTAAGGTGCCTCCAAGGATTCAGATCTGCCAAAGACGTAAGTGCCCCTTGGAAATGCAGTTATGACTTGTTAAAAACAAGTTTCTTCCCGTGACTGATTTCTCTGGCATTTTCTTACAGCCAGTGCTATTGAAAAACTAAAAGCAATGGAGCAAACATTGGCCAAAGGCAAGCAGATCCAAGATGACTGTTCCACAGTGGTGAAGAAGCTACGTGCAATGCTCCACTCGGCAGAGGAGCAGCTACGGGTCCATAAGAAGCAAACCATGTTCTTGACGATCAGCTGATTTATTCTGTTAAACTGCTAATTTCGGACTTTATTACTTTTTACTATGTATTTTCGTAATTAAGTTAATCTTTTTTTCTATAATAACTTATTCTGCTATGCGATTAATAGTATATATATTTAAAATTTGGTAAGATTTTGGTACTTTCATAAATATCTAACTATCCAAAGGTTAAAATAGAGGTAAAGTCTAATAGAGGCAAATATTTATAATTTTAGGACATTTTGCAAACATTTTTTCCAAAAAAGGGTCTAATTTGCTAATTATCTCTAGATTGTAAACCATCCTCAACTTTGTGTTTATTAGTCCCGTGGCTATAACACACCATTAGTATTGAATATTTCTTCAAGTACTGTAAAATAACATTGATTGGAATAGATATGTTTTATTATGGAAACAACCTTATATTTCATAACTAGAAAACATTTTATTACTACAATACTCCATTACATAACATTGCATTACCATTTATCATTATTATTAGACTACTACAATAGTCCATTACCATACATTACCACTACTTAGAATTTCATTATTATTATTAAACGATACCATTAATATCGTTACGTCGCTCCGCCGCTCCAATTAGCGTTCACGTTCTTCTTTGGGAGCATCCTCGGCTTGGTTGAGAGTGTTTTTAACGGTTCCAATATAGCTTTTGCCCTTGTTTAGAGATACTATCTTTGTAGAGGCGTTGCCCAACTCTATAATCTCCCCTATCTCTACCATGGTAGCAAATGTCACAATTGGAATATTTTTCTGTCCAGCTGTTGCTAACAGTGTACGCAAAGGTTCTTCCGTCTTATCGGCATCATCCGCAACTATAAGCAAGCTTACGTTATCGGCAGTGAGTTGGTTTTGCACTATCCAAAAAAAAATAGAGAAAAAACTGTTAAATAGTTTGTAGTGGAAGCTCAAAGTGAAGACCACTTAGTACTGATTCACTTTTTATAGAGCTATCCCCGTTTCAATAGAGAATCACTCAAAATAAATTTATAAAAATAATAAATGGATTTTGACTAGAAAAAGAAAGTTGAATATGTAATTAGAACTCGTGACAAAACTGATATACAAAATTACAAATGGTTTCATAGAACAAATAAAAGTAATAGAACAAGTGGATTGGTTTTACCTGTATTTTCCATGAAAGACACTTCATCTGCAAAGAAATCTAAACCCTGAAAAAGTGATATAGCGGCTTTTTGTTGAGCATTAGAAGAAACAACCATATTTTTTACAAATGAAAGAAAATAGAGGTTTAGGAAGTGATGTATGAGTGTATTAAAAATTTGTTTTCTATGTCCTATATATATAGGCATGAAAGGGTATGAAAGCATGGAAAAATATCTTGAATTCTCACATGAGATTTAACAACCAACAAAAACCATATGCATGAGAAATTGGTGTGTTCCCTCTGAAACTTATGTGCAGAAAAATGTATTGCTTGCTTCTGAATTGGTGGAAAACTTTCATGCCTCAGGAGATATTTCTCGGGGCTGCCTGCAGGTGGATTTGGCCAAAGCTTATGACAATTTGAGTTGGCAATTTCTTCTGAATGTTCTCGATGCTATTGAGCTTCCAAGGCAGTTTGTGGGATGGATCAAGGAGTGTTTTACCACTCCAAGTTTTAGTGTTGCCTTCAATGGGGAGTTGATTGGTTTCTTCCCAGGGAAGAAGGGGCTCAGGCAAGGAGACCCCATTTCTTCTCTCCTCTTTGTGTTGGCTATGGATGTGCTGTCTAAAAAGCTGGATAGGGGATTGGTTGATCAGTTGTTCAGACCTCATCCTAAGTGTCTGGTTCCTGTGATCACTCACCTGAGCTTTGCAGACGATATATTGATTTTCTTTGATGGTGGGCAGGAGTCTCTTCAGGGAATCTTTGAAATTTTGAACGGTTTTAGAACAGCCTCAGGTCTTGGGATAAACAGAGAGAAAACTGCACTGTTCTTGGATGGTGGGGATTTTCAGGTATCGCAGCAGATGGCTTCTGGTTTTGGGATCCAGCATGGATCTCTTCCTGTTCGATATCTTGGTGTACCATTAACCTCAAGGAAAATGCGTAAGCAAGACTATCAGCCTCTTATTGACAGGTTATTAAGCAGATTTAATGCATGGACTGTCAAGCACCTGTCATATGCTGGAAGACTGCAGCTAATAAAGTCTGTCATTTACTCTACGATCACATTCTGGGCGTCAATTTTTATTTTACCAAATCAATGCTTAGAGGAAATTGAAAGAATGTGCAATGCTTTCCTTTGGAAAGGGGATCCCAGCTCGGCTAGAGGGGCTAAAGTTAGTTGGGAATCAGTTTGTACTCCCAAAGTGAGTGGCGGGCTTGGCTTGCGAAGGCTAATACCTTGGAATAAAGTATTAGGTTTGAAACTGATTTGGCTAATTTTTGCTGCGGGAGGATCCTTGTGGGTCTCCTGGGTTAGGCGCAATTTAATTGGTCACAGATCTTTTTGGGAGCTTGAACACATTGTCTCGGGTAGCTGGATTTGGAAAAGCATCTGCAAGCTGAGATCTTTGGCTAGGCCCTTCTTTGTATGCTCTATTGGATCTGGTATCTCTTGTAATTTTTGGAGTGAAAACTGGACTGGGTTGGGTCCTCTCTTGGGGAACTAAACACAATGGATCATTAGAAGAGAAATAGAGAGAGGCTTACTGGTTCAAATTTGGTGATAGTGTAAACCCATCCAAGCCCAACTTCTTCATACAACCTCCTAAATGCCTGAAAACGTTACACCAAAATTGATAAATATGAAATGGATAGTCTAATACAATGATATACAATAAGCTCACCTCCACGCCTGTTACCACGTTACCATCAGATTCAATAGCATGGATTTGCCCCATTACCTAATAAAGATCTCGATTAAATCCGAAAGCTCGAACATCAAACAAACAAGAGAATGAAACAAACTGAACCAGATTAAAAGACAACAACTTACGGTTTTGTAATCTAGCCCTTGATTATCTTCCGGGGAAATGTCGACAAACTTAATAGTTCCATACTTCTCATTCCTTTCCTTAAGCATATTATTAACCTTCATTTCCCAATAACAAGACAAAAATTCAGTGTCAAAAAATCTGTATGAATATTACTTCATAACAAGGAACAGAGTTATATTATAGACCTCACGCATACAGAGAGGACAATCTCCATCATAAAGCATTTTGATTTTCCAATTTTGAGGTTTTGGTTCCTCTCTGTTCTTCAATGGTGTAACAACAGGATCAACACTTGCTCCTTGTATTGCCCTAACTTGATATTTAATCACTACAAGTAAAATCATAATCAGTACTATATAATGAAGAACCTTAGGGATCATGCTAGATATGAAATTTATGACACAACTCTAATGTTACATATTTATCTTAGAACAAGTACTTTAATAAAATTTGTATCTGTTGGGATGATTCGAGGAGTGAAATTGGAATTGAAATGGTGAGATAATGATCGAAGAGAAAGGTTTCTTCGGTGCTTCCATATTGTGGATGCAGCAACAGCTCCTCTCGTTGCCATTTTTTTTTTTTTTTTTTGGTTCTCTTCAAATTTTCCCCTTCTATGGAATTTGATTTTGCGTTTTGTTTTTTGGGTTGTGTGGTAATTTAACTCGGAGTTAATTTTATGGTGCGGAGCCGTGCACGTGGCAGTATTGTCTCCTTCAATCTTTTGTATGCCAGTTTTGGACTATCGTGGGGGATTGAAACATCGAGCGTGTCCGTGCCTATCCGTGTGTGGGTTTGGCCGGTCGGTCATAAGGAATAGAAGAGACCGTATATCTTTCTTTTTGGTGAATGAAGAGACAGACAGTATATATTTAGCTATTAGAGTTTTTTTTCTTTTTTCTTTTTTTTTTAATTGATTGAGATGTTTATATATTAACAAATTATATTTAATAAAAAATTTCACCACTATATTGTTTATTTGTTAGTTTAATTTATCCTATAGATTTCTAATATTAAATATTTCATAAACATTTTATATGATAGTAAAATCCAAAATTGTATTACAAGTGTGAAGATAAAAAAAAACGATAAATCATTTTTTTGTAACTAAATTAACAAGTCAACAAAAGTTAATGCCTTTTTTCATCAAACGAAAATTTGATGTTTTTCTTTGATAAAGTCGGTAAGTTAGAAGTTTTTTTTAACATTTTTCTCCAAAATATTTTGAAGGAACTATGAAATTTTCTTTGGGCTTCTTTTAATGATTTCTTTTGAATATAACATAAAATCAAAGTCTCATTCCAATTAGAAAACCCAGCATTAAGGTACAATCATTATCCAATAACTTTCAAACACAAAATAAAATGTAAAGATAAAGTCGCGGTATCACTACCATACTAATACAGATTAACGCATTGATTACTCAAGTTATAAAGATTTCTCGCCGAACTAATTTCTTTGCGATATCATTCTCTGTCTAACTAACTCTTGTGCCGAACAAACAGTCTGTGTTTACTCTTCTTATTTTGTTTGCCGAACCTAGTATTTAACAGTTGCCGAACCTAGTATTTAACACTCTGCAGCTTGGTCCTCTCATGCAGCAGATGATACCAATCGTGGAAGCTTCTCCAATATATGAAATGGCTCGAAATGCTTCAGGTGTTACTACTTACACTACAAAGTCTAATTCAAATATTCTCTTAAATAATCTATTTATTAGAGCTTGCTAGTAGAAATAATGTTCAGTCTTTTTGTCCATTGAATCTTAGCAAAGAATAAGAGAACTTCTCTAGCTAGTTAGTGTTCATATTGTCACGTTTCATCCATCTTTAACCCTTTTCAACTTGGATAGTGCGTCTTAGTTTATCTAGGGATATGATTTTATGTCGACGTTGAGCTGGAGGACTATGCCTTTGACATTTTTTTTTTGTCTTACCTATGTACCAAAGAGACTTTTATAATTCCTTTTGAATCAAAAGAAGCTAATATCTTTGCACTTGTGCTCACTTACAGGTGATGTGTTGAAACTTTTACTTGACACAGCTGGGACAACGATTCTAAATAACGATCAAGATGCTCTTAAGTCATTGACTAATTTGGTGGATCAATTGTCTTTCAGTATTTGGTGAGGTATTTCTTCTGTAAGGACTTCTTGATTTCTTATCGAAGACTGAGCTTTTGTAGTTCCCTTGTAATTTGCCAAGCCATAAAAAGAAATTGAACTTCTCGTTCTTTGTTTGTTGTTCTATGAAGGTAGGACAAGGGATGTCGGAATTTCGACCGTCACCACTTGAGAATCGCAATAGCTTCAAGTGCTCGTACAGCGTTCCACACACTTTACTGGTAAGGTGCACACAAGTTCATTTAGAGTTATATGAGCTTGACGGCTCAAATATATTATTACTAGGTTTAAAATAAGCCTGTTCTAGTAAAGATTCAGTTGACATTCCAATCATTAGTACTTGTATTAGAGAACCATTTCTCATTATAGAGATGTCTGTTTGTTGGATAACGTATGGTGTTGCATTAAGTAAGTCGACTGAAGAGTGAACCAACTGCTAAGCAAACTGTAATATCTGTCTACATTCATTTTGAGTAGAGATTATTAGAGTCTGTCTCTGACAAGATTTGCACGGGTTTACAATTCGGAGACAATTTATTGGGACAAAAAGACTGTTTTGTTACTCATAACTAACTTCAACCAGTTAGTTACTCATCATTACCATCATCAACAACTTCATCATCAACAACTTCAACCAGTTCGACTTGGAAAACCAGCCAAGCATGACGAGGAACCCGTTTACCAACAAACCTGTGAACCAACATTCCCATTAAGAGGTTAGACAAAGGTGCAAAATGATAAACTAGTAAAGACTCGAGAAATATATATATGAAAATCACGATTGGCGATTGATTTACCCGTATACTGGAGGAACGGTAATCTTTCTTATCTCACCAACATGCATGCCTATGGTTATTCAAAAAAAAATTGAGATCAAAACAAAATGATTTGTACAAAGTGAATAAACCAGTACGAAATTAGTTTCATACCTGTTATGCCAAAACTGAATCCCAAACCAAGTTTATGATCACCTCCTGCACATTGAAAGAAACGGACAAGTATCAAGTACCCTGTCGCAGAATGTAATTCACAGAATGTAATACTAACCTAGGCAGAACGTTTTTGGTCTTTTGCTGAATTTGGAATCGAAAATCTCCCCATTCTTCTGAAGCTTTCCAGTGTAGAGAGCACGAATCCATTTTCCTAGAACAGCTATCTTACCATCCGGTTTACCTTTGACCAACACTTCAATGGTGAGACCATTATCGTGTGTTGTCACATCAGAAGTGGCTTCAATCATTGAGCTTCCAGCACTATGAGGCACATAAATAGACAAAATCTAATAAATGACTAGTTATAACAGGAGAAGATATCACGAGGAAACACCATCATTTTCAAAAGATTCAATAGTTATAAAGAAAATTTCAATCTTTGGCAGGCCACATAGATTTTAATATCTAAATGGAGCAGGTTTTTTTACCTAACATCAAGCAGTTCGACTTCAAAAACTAGCCAAGCGTTAGGAGGAACCAGTTTACCATCACCGCCCTTGCCATACCTGTGTGAATCAGACAAGAATATTACCATTCTCACCATGAGGTTAAACAAATGTGCAAAATGATCAACTAGTAAGACTCAGGAAACATATACCCCATAAGTGGAGGAACTGTAATCCTTCTTTTGCCACCAACAAGCATGCCTGTGTTATTCAAAAAATACATTTGAGAGATATAATACAACATATGTACAGTAGAACAAAGTGGTGAAGAAACAGTGAGAATTACCTTCAACACCAGATTCGACTCCTGGAAGAAAACCTGTATCAAGTAACCCAGTAACAAAATGTACAAGCATGTCTGTGTTATTCAAAAATACTTGAGATAAAAAAAAAAGTAACGTGAAGAAACAGTAAGAAACCTCCAACACCAAATTCGAATGCCTGAAGAACTTCTCCAGAACCTGTATCAAGTACCCAGTCACAAAATGTAATTCTCAAGAGATTGATATTTTTTTGAATCTAGTTACAATACTAACCTAGAATAAACTCAAACGGTGTTTTTGAATAGTCAACAAAGATCTTCCCATTTTTCTGAAGCTTTCCAATGTAGCGAACACTAATCCGTGCTCCAGGAACGGCTTTCTTGCCGTCCGGTTTACCCTTGACCAACTCTTCAAGCTTGTACCCGTTGGTGTTGCTAAATATCACACTCGGAATGGTTCCACTCTTGTGTTTTGTAGTGCTACGTAACTCCATCTTCTGTTCCCCAAATCCTGCAAACATTTAAAAAAAAAAAAAAAAGCGACAATCAGAGCCAATAGTATCGTGAAAAAAATGAGTTGTCAAAAGTTTGACTGAAATTGGAGATGAAAAGATATAGAGAAGGCGAATTCCATTGCGGATTGTGATTATAGGGCGAAGAGAAGAGTCTTACGTTCTTCTGTGATTGTAAGGCGTAGAGAAGAGTCTTGCGTTTTTCTGAATTGAGAAAGAAAGAAACAACCCTAGATGGAGTTAAAAATGATGTGGGCTTTTAACGTGGGTTAACAAACCCTTATTCTTTTTGTGAGGCTTGTGGGCTTTAAACGTGGGCTCAGACATAATAACATTATTTTATAATTGTATGTAACCGGATCCGGATATCCGTCCACCAAAAATCTTATTATCCGTATCCGGATCCGGCGGATCCAAAAATTTTCTATCCGTATCCGGATCCGTTTTGGCCGGATATCCGTTTTTCTGAAACTATGGCATATTAGCACTATGGCATATTAGCATCTAATCACGAGTCAAAGGAAGCAGTATAGATTGAAGATTAAACGGATGTTAAACTCGAATAAGCGATAATCACAGTCAAATAAACAGCTAAAAGATGTGAATCTAAAGACTAAACAGCATCAAAGATGAAAAGAAGATGAAGATCGAAAAACTAAAGAGAAATTTTTCTCACCTGCAAGTAAGAATCTGAGAGGAGTCTTTTTTTTTTTCGCCAATCTGAGAGGAGTCTTGCGGCTACGAAAGTGAGAGTATGAGAGCGAAACCCTAAAATTAAAATTGCACGACTCAAGGATACTTATGCCGGTTCAATTACGATTCAATTCAGAGTCATAAAAATAAAAAATAAAGTCACTACGGTTCAATTCACACTTGCTAAACTAGAGCACAAAGAATTGGAAAACCGGTTAACTTAAGCCGGCTCAAATCAAGTCAATCAAATTTAAAAACAAACTAGTATTGAACCCGCGGTACACCGCGGATTGATATTTTCGTATTTGATGGTGTTCATATTAAAAATAATTTTATTTTTTAGTTTTAATAGTTTGATTTGCGTATATTTTTAAATCTTATATTGTTATCAATAATTTTATAGAGTTCATAGAATCGATGAGTCTTAATTTATTCGTGTTTTCCGTTCCGTTTTATCATTCACGTAAAATCTCGTCCTAAATTCATGGTCCCATCCCAAATCATCCCGTTCCCATCTCGGATTTTGACTGGGAAATTTCTGTCTTGTTTCCGTTCCCGTACACTCCCGTCTTAAATTCACGGTCATGTTCCATCCTGTTCCCCTCCCAGATTTTAACTGGAACATAAATAGAATTTTTTTTTCCGATTTCCAAATTTACATCCCGTTTCCGTAAAATCTCGTCATAAACTTTCGGTCTCGTCCCGTCCTGTTTCATCCCGTTCTCGTCCCGAATTTTAACTGAGACATAAATGGACCATTTTTCAATTTCTAAATTTTCGTCCCGTTTCCATCCCGTAAAATCTCGTCCTAAATTCTTGGTCCCTTCCCAAACCATCCCGTTCCCATCCCGAATTTTAACTGGGAAATTTTCTTCTATTTTAAGAATTTGGACATTTGTGTGTATCATACATAGATGTACATTTCTAAACCTTATATTGTTTATCAAAAATCTTATCTTATAGTGTTTATAAAATTTTTAATTTTATTTCATTTAATGTAAAAATCGATGACCCTTCAATTTTTTGTGTTTTGCATCAGTATACGTTTAAGGATCATATTTTATCAAGTTTCTTATGAATTGTGTTGTTTTAGAAGGCGGCAAGAGTAGTTCCTGGAGGCCGCATAGCCCGACTTTAAATTGTCTGCGGTGGCCACTTAAGGTGTTTGCAGCCGTGGGGATTTGAACCCGGGATTATTGGGAATTTCATCCTCAGCCCGAAATTCGTCCAACCACTAGCCCATTAAGTTATTTAATTCAAAAAAATTTATTAATACATTTTATCATTTAATTTTAAAATTTATACATATGTAAACAAGTTTTTTTTAAAAAAAATATTAAAAAATTTTCTTATATTTAATATTATAGTAGGTTTTTCTCTCTTCTCCTTAAGTCAACTCATTATCCTAATCATTTAATTATTCAATTCAAAAATTTATTTATATATTTTATTATTTAATTTCAAAATTTAAATATATGTAAACAAGTTTTTTAAAAAGAAATATGAAAGGTCTTTTCTTATATTTTATATTATAAAACTAAAAACCATAATTGATATAAAAAATAATAAACTTACTAATTTTCGATTATACTAACTAATTTATAAATAATATATTATATTTTTAAAGTGAATTTTTTTATTATGAATATATATCCATTAAAATAATATGCAATAAAATGTGAATAGAATAACACAATGTAAACTTAAATTATGATGAGATTTAACGGGAATAGAACAAAAACAAGAAATTTTGAGAATATAAAATCTATCTAATTTATGTCTTACAATTCTTTAAACATAAATGAGATAGATTGGGACAAAACCTGAATTCTCATTTTAAAAACATGTAAGAAAAAGTAACAACAAAACAATATTTCATTTACCCAATAAAAATAAAATAAATAAATTAGACAATATGTAAAGAGATAATGTAACTAAACAAAACATAACCAACTAAATTAAATAGATAATAAAACTCCCGCGCGTAGCGCGGACAAATGACTAGTATACTCTATAATAGAAAGGTTAAAAAAAAAAACAAATAGAGTGAAACTGGAGAAGTACTTAATAAGTAGTAGTATTAGATATAATGTTTTTTTTTTAATATATAATCTATAATTTGGGTTTTTGCTTTTTTGTTTCTTCTTCTTTTTTTTTTGTAAGGATGTTGAGCAAAACCGTTTCAGCTTTTGTGGAACACGAGTCTTAAAGCTAGTTTGGTGGTGAAGTGAGAGAGAATCTTTGGGTAATTGGGAATACAAAGAGTCATTAGAATGTGAGCCTTGTACAGTTATAAGATATATTTTGATTGAATCAAACAATATTTTATGTCTAACATTCGACTTACACAAAGATTTTGTGGTTTTAATCATTGAAGTTTGGTAAATCATCTTTCAGATTCGGTTTGATTTGCTATTTGTTTTGATTTTTATTTAAATTTCATGTTATTGAATTTGAAATTCTGTAAAATCATTCAAAATAACAGATTTTTAAAAATCAAATCATATCAAATCTATTGTTATTCAAACTTTAATTTTATAAAGACTAAGACCAATACCTGACTATATGTGCGGAATTTTGCATCAGTAATTTATTATTTATATCAATTTTTGCAATTGAATTAACTTGATGAATTAGTCTTTTTGGTATTTTTTTTTATATCATATCAGTTTTTTATTTATTTATGTTAAATTACATAATTTAGCGTGTTTATACCGCTTTTTAATTACATACTTATAGTTACACAGTTGTGTTCAAAAAAGTGTTTATACCGCTTTTTAGAGTACTGCTAAAAACTAAATAAAAAGATTATTTTGTTCTTTTCAAATGGACAAAAACAAATATTATTGATTTTTTTTGTCAACAATTATCGTTGTTTTTGTAATTATCTCTTACAACAGATAAATCTTACAATTATCATTGTGCTAAAAATTCGTATAGAAATTGTGGGTGTTGGTCCTTTTGGATAGTTATGTCATCAGAAAGTTTTCTCATATTCTTGATTTGTGTTTCAAATCATTGATCTTAGTGTTCTTAAAGACGAAGTTAGTGATGCTTAGGTCTTGTGTTGATTCGAGCTTCAAATGGTTTCTAGAGAACGATGATGAATTCAGACAATCTGAATAATCAGTGTTCTGTAGATACTGAGAGAATCAGCACAAGTTGAAAGACTTTTAAGTTAAAGATTCAAATTTAAGTTCTTTGGATTGAAGTGTCTTGTTTGTTTTCTACTTCAGGGTATAGTGAAGAAACTTGATCGACAAATCATGCTATGGAACCGGTTGAATGGAAGCAAGACATTGTCGTATCCCTCTGGCCACTGTGAAAATGTGTTTCAGACTAAGTTTATTACCTTTTACAGATGACCGGACGATCATAACATCTGGTGCTGATGGACAAGTATGCTTGAATTATCGAATTCTTTAAGACTCTCCAGCATTGTTGATTAATGTAACTAGTTTATTCATTAGGTGTAAATTCCGTTTTGTAGGTAAGACTTGGTCAAATCCTAGAAAATGGTAAAGTGGAGACAAAAAGGCTAGGGAGGCACCATGGTCGTGTGTACAAGCTTGCTGTTTTGCCTGGAGATCCTAACGTATTCTACAGCTGTGGTGAAGATGGTTTTGTTCAACATGTTGGTCTCTACATCTCTCTCAAGCTCTATGGCGTGGTCTCGTGTTTGGCTTTTCGATGTCTTTTCCTTTTTTCAAACTCAGATTTTGAACTTGTCTTTGTTTTTTTTGGGCAGTTTGATGTACGAAGCAACAGTGCCACTATGGTTTTGTATTCCTCTCCGTTCACACAAGGCTGCAGGAGACATCACTCCAGCAGTAGAATCAGATTGAATTCTATTGCGATAGATCCAAGGAATTCATATTATCTTGCGGTTGGGGGTTCCGATGAATACGCATGAGTCTACGACACTAGAAGAGTACAATTAGCTCCAGTATGTCGCCACATCTTACCAGACGCGCCTTTGAACACTTTCTGTCCCCGTCATCTCCGGGAGACCAACAGTGTTCACATCACGGGATTGGCATATTCCAAAGCTGGAGAACTACTGGTCTCTTACAATGACGAGCTCATTTATCTGTTTGAGAAGAACATGGGTTATGGTTCGTCGCCGGTGTCTATATCTCCTGAGAATCTACAAGAAATGGAAGAACCACAGGTGTATACAGGACACCGCAATGCACAAACAGTTAAAGGAGTGAACTTTTTCGGTCCAAATGATGAATATGTGATGAGTGGTTCAGACTGCGGTCACATATTTATATGGAAGAAGAAAGGGGGTAAAGCTTGTGCGGGCTATGGTGGGTGATAGACGAGTGGTGAATCAGCTCGAGTTTCACCCACACATACCGTTTTTTGCATCCTGCGGGATTGAAAAGAGCGTCAAGCTCTGGACACCATTGTCAAACGATGTTCTTTCTCTGCCTGAAAACATCGAAAAGGTAACTAGTAGAATCATATCTCCTCTCACCCAATGTTTAATATTTGATTTACGTCCCAAACACTGAATCTGTGTCTTGTGGGAAATGCAGGTGGTGGAATCGAACCGAGTGGGAAGAGAAGACCAGTCGAGGGTGACACTGACTCCTGACGTAGTTATGCACGTTCTCCGGCTACAGAGACGTCAGACATCTGCTTTTACAGAAAGAAGATACGTTTCAACTGACATCGACAGTGATGAAGGAAATGAAGCTCATTTCATTGCAAGCTTAGAAGCCAAGGACGATGAGTCTTCAGAAAGAGAATGTACTGTCAGCTAAGTCTTCAAGTAGTAGTGTGATATATTACAGATTTACAGGTCATGTGTTTCATTTACTTGTGAATTTTGCTTGCTTGTTGTAACTTTAAATAAGGAAAATAAGAACGAGGATTTAGTAATCTTTCAACAAACGACCAGCGCTTACCCAGCACGCATATCCAAAAACCGATTCACAGTGTAATGCTGTGAGTTTCTTTCATTCAATTTGGATAGAGTAATACAGAAACTATAGTTTCAATGCTTAGATCAAGAACTCAAACAAAAGAATTGCTCTCTTTTATTTCTTTAGGAAATTCCTCAAACCTAAAGTTTTCTTAACCTCTCAAACTTCTCATACAACTCTT